TCTCGTGCAGGTCTTGCCACCCGGCTAATTCCCCGGCAACTACTTGTTGCGAGTATCGAAGTTCTCGACCGAGGTCATCCACCTGCTCCTGTGACTGGCGGGCTTTCTCTTCCCTCTCCTCGTTGAGGCGTTGTCGCGTGTCATCCAGCAACCCAAGAGGCCACCGTGTCGATCTCGTGAGCGAGTTGTAGTTTCGCTCCACGGCCTTGCGCGCAGCCGATATCTGCGTAATTTGCGCTGGCGGCCGCGACAGAGCCGATAACAGGGCTTGGATCGTCGATTGCGATGCCAGGAACGTCGAGTGGAAGATCCCGTAAGGATTCGATTGCATTGGTACGAGGGTACGGACATAAGAATCCATCGCCGTGATGTATGCTGGTGGAAGGAACGGCAATGTCGAAACAGCGCGGTGCAGCAGGAGTGATGCGTCATGAAGATCTGCTCTCGTTAGTCCAGACCAAAACTATTTGATTACCAGAAACAAAACTTACCTGAAGCAACAATGGCGATGGAATTGACCCTTCTTGCCACGCTCTTAGTCGAGTAGTTGACACTCCGCACCATCTCCCTTGCATGATCGACGAATTGTTCGACCTCTCGCACATCCTTGACGGGCTCGTACTCTTCCCGCACTTTCTCGGCTCGCGTCTCAGCTTTCAGGTTACTCCTCTGCTCCATCATGCCTAGTTGGATATCAGGCACCAGGAAGAATTCCCAGAGCATCTCGTGTGTTGCGAATGTGGGGTGATTGAGCATGATCTTGAGGAACCAGTCGGCCCTAGTCTGGATTTCTCGTAGCACTGCTCTAGACGGCTTCGAAGGTATCTGGAAGGGCGACCGCACACCCGCCACCGCCGGGATCCAGGACGCCGGGTTCTCCAGCGCCAGCAAGTTGCCGAGGTGCTCAAAATCAGACAAATTCCTGCGGCTTGTGGTGACGGTGTAGCTCATGTGGTCGGCTGGGGCTGCCGATTTCAAGACCAGCCGAATGGTCGCATCTTCAACGAAAAAGGCCCTCACGACACCGGTGATACGGGCATCCGCGCCAGGGGGCATGCTGAAGAGTGCCAGGTCATCAATCTTATTCCTGATGTCGTCATCTTTGGCCAATTCAACGGCAGTCAGGCTTCGGATTTCTCGGGCTGCAACATCGACGCGTGCGTCCACAAATAGCGTTCTGACCATATCCAGCCTGCCATATTTGCTAGCAACCATTAACGGCGTAAATTTCTTCTCGTTCGTGGCGTTGACATCGACATCGCATTGCTGGAGCACTCTGAGTGCCAGCTGTGGGTCGTTGACAATGTGAAGCAGAGTGTTCCCCTTGGCGTCCACATGATCGTCAATGTGCAGCGGAAGCCCGTCACGCTGCGCTTCCGTGGCCGCATCAAGGCCGGCATCCACCATTTCGCGGTAGTGGATATGGTCATACGACCTGCAGAGTGCAAAAAGCGGCGTCTGCCCATTCTTGTCTTTTTGCCGCCAGGGGACTAATCTCCCGATCCGAGAAATTAGAAACGGTGCGTGGAACAGGTAATGCGCACAACTGCGCCCCCAAATGTCTTGCTGAGCAAAATACTCAATTAAGCGCTCTCTTGCCGCCAGTCTCGAAATGAAGTCGAGAATAATATTAATCAGCTCCGTATGCCCCAGCTGGACAGCAGCGCTAAAAAGCGTTGTATCTTCGTTGTTGATGTCGTCTAGAATGACAGAAAGAGGATAGTACTCGCTCAGCGTCAGCAAGTACCGCAGAACATCGGGCCTTTCGTTTTGCACAGCCATCATCAAAATTGATTCCCCGAATGCATTGTGTGTCTGCGAAAGACGATCGATAGTGATGTCGCCCTCAAGTACGCTTCCAATGGTACCATTGCTGGTCGCCCTCGAGTGGTACGAGATCTCCGAGCCGCTGGACATGCTTCGTGTATCCATGGCAACCCTCTTGACCTTGCGAGGCGGCGGCGGTAAAGGGAAGTCAATCTCACTGCCATCATCCTCGGCCTGGAATGGGAAAACGTGGCTCAGGCCAGAGCCTGATGAGAAGCGATCCGAGATCGTGACTGCTGTTGATGATCTCCTCGAGGCAGACCCGTTGGTGAAGCTCCAGCTGTGAGAGGGGCGTCTACTTGATTCTGGCGAATCATAAAGGTCTTCGTCGAGAATGGCGTTCTCGTCTGGTTCCATGATCTTCTTCAAGTCGTCAAGGCTTCCATTGCAGGTAGCATTCCATAACGCTTTGTTTCGTCGGCTGGCTCTTCGCAATCCTGACGAGTCTAGTGCGAGGTATGCGAGGACAGCTTCGAAGGTGCTCAGTGCATATCCCATCTCACCATTGTCTACGTCATCAATGAAGATAAAGTGACGGATGTAGATGAGCCGAGCGTGCAAGTGCCGAACTTGTGCTCGGATGACCACGAAGAGCAACAGCGAGACTAGCGTGTCGGCATTAACTGTCAAAGTAGGCTTCTCGGTCGAAGAGGCTGCTTGCGCTTGTGAAGACTCTGTCAAATGAGTGACCAGCTTCATGGTCGACAGGAGCAGATCGAGCATCTCTTGTGGGCTCATGGCATTCGCTGTCTTCTTGAACTCCTCCACGGCCAGACCAAGCTGTATCGTCAACTCGTGCTTCCCTCGCGAACCACCTTCTATAGAGATGCCAAGCTGTGATAGATCAATGAACTCCATTTGCCGAATCTTGGCCTCCAACTCGAGATCATAAGGTCGTTTTGATGCACTAAGTCGGGGAAACAGGAGGTGGTGTGTATTCTCGGTGACGTATCTTTCGATGAGTCTTTCGACCAGAGGTCCCGTCAGGTCGGTCGTAGCGCCGAGCATCGAGAGTTGCTGCTTGTCAACCCCCTGGAACAAGTCGATGGCGGCTGTGACAGCAGTCTCCAGTGAAGCCCTCATCACATCTTCGTCATCCTCGGCGTAGAAGTTCTCCGTCACGGGGAGACCGTTAGTCAACCCATTGGGGCGCCTTGCTGCGGACATGCTGTTGGACCGCGCCTTCCTCATGGCCGTAGTGATGGGTCCGTCGGGCTCGGGGTCGGGTATGCGTAACGCCGAAGGGGGCGGCGGGAGCGGTCGCTCGAACACAGTCGTGAACTCTCGAAACAGCTTTTCTAATCCAGGTTGCATCTGTCGTGCGATGATAGGAAAATGGTTGAGGAGGTCGTGGAAGCTCTTGATGTCCTTCTTCCGGGGAAGCATGGCGCCTTCGCCATTCTCAGCAGCCGCCGCCTGGCTCTGTTCGAGGGCTTTCCTCCTCGCCATTCCCTCCACCAATATGGCAGGCTCGATCTTGTTCTCTTCCCATACGCCCACCAGTGGCCGCGAGATGTAGTAAATCAGCCATTGGCGGGGTTCAAGGAGGTCGGGATACCATGTCGAATCGTTCAGTAATTGAGCTTGCGCAAGCGACTTGAAGCCTGGGATACAATTGTCAGTCACAGGCGGTTTCGTATTGCATACCCAGGCGCACCTTTGTTACTGTAGACGTGTGTATCTTTGATGACGACTGTGCGACCATTGATGGTCTGATACTGCTTCGCCTTGCCCCTCAGCTCGCGCAGGTTTTGCGCCGCGTCCTTCCCACCCGCAGCAGAGGTTGTATTTGCGGCGGGAATGCGAAGCACATGACTAGCTAGGAACTCCTCCGAAGTGATGAGCTCGTGGAAGGTCGAGCCGCTCTCGACTTCGCGACATGTGAGGAGGACATCGGTGATCGGGACCAGGAGGATGTGGTGATGTACCGGGGTACACTGTGAGGGTAGGGAGCTTCGGAAGAAGGCAGCGAGGAATGGATTTAGGGGTTGCATTCATTCGACTGGCGCTGGACGTCCTCGGCCAGCTAACCCGGCCGGGGAAGCCAGGATTGCAGGGTAAAGGTGAGTAGGTGGTTGAGGGTCGTGGACTTCGGGAGCACGGAGGTGCCGGGGGATCGACGGACTAGGGACGGAACGAAGGCTGGAAATAGGATCGCTGGGTATCGTTCAATGTCGCTGATATGCAGGATGGTCGTCGGCGGTCGTACAGAAGACGCGAGTTAAGCTGGCGGTCGTTGAGGAAGGTGGAGAATGGATCGTGATGAAAGGCAAGTTGTTCGTGGTGGTTGCGATTCCCCTGGACAGATAGCAGTGGAAGGTGTTGAAGCTCTGGTGTGGGCCAGGCAAGCCAGGCACTGACCTCACTGAGGCCGCACGTCCCACTCCTAATGGGCTGCCACTGCCAGGGGGCACCGTGGCCCGATTCGGTGCTGAAGAGGTTCGCTGCCAGCATTCCGTCCCCACAGTGCCGAGGCGGTACGCTCTGATTTGCTGGGGAACAGAGGGAAGCCTAACGGAGTGCGGAGAAAAGGGATCTCCGAAGGTACCACCGAGGCGGGCGCTCTCCCGGCTTCCATCGATAGCTTAACCTTATCTTATCAGTCCCCACACGAAGCGAGCATCTTCCATCCTGCCGCCCAGACATCTTTCTGAAGATGTCAAGAGCCTCCCATTAACATCCCGTGGAGGTTAAAAGACATGTCTTTATTCGAAGGCAGATATTCCAAACCAACGACGAAGAGGCGTTCATCTTGTGATTATCAGCTGCAACAGCTTACTCATATCGCAGTAACCGGCATGGCTGCCTATCGCGCCTGCGGTATCCGTCATCGCCTGCCTACATGCATAAAAAACGATGCAGGAGGCCATCAATCTGGAGAATCGGGCAACAGAGGACTTTGACGTCACATCACATGGAATCATAAACAAGACTTGTCACTGCCGACCGGGTGCCTATCACTCTACACTTTGTCTTCAAATCACATATAATTCTGACGATTGTTCTTACAAGTTCATCTTCATTCGTGCTTTATCATCCATGTTCGGTACTCAACTGGTGTTGTGAATAGCAAATCTCTCACCCAAAACAACATCGTCTAAAGCCTACCTTATTACACCGACGACACCACAAATAACCCCTCAACGTCTGATATAGGCCAAAGTGTGTTCAAAATGGCCACCAAGATTGACTCTGCTCCCACTCAGCACATGACCCGCGGCTGTGTGCGTTTTACACCCGGCCCTTCATATGGGGATGCTACTTCAGCTCTGAAGAAGATCCCGCGATACCTTTTCAGAGTCCATGCACCAAGCACCTCAGGTGAAACATCACTAAAATCTGTCGTGTCAAGAGCTGCTCTCTGTGGTCACGCTGGATCCGACTGCGACATATTCTCGATGCCTCCGGACGAAGCAGCCGAGATGCTCAACTGTCACCTTCGCGGTTGGGCTCGGGATGGTGACAACCTCATGTCTTGGACGAGCTCATTACTTTTCGCCCTTCAATACGCACTGTATCGCAGCATCATGCCCAAAAACGGGCGTCCCGACGACCCGTCCGATATCTGGATCTATATCTTGGACACAAGACTTTTGCCTGGAGGTTCCTTTATTCCCGACGTTGCACTCCTTGACGAATTCACTGGGAAAGACGCAGCACGCACGTATAATCTATCTAAGCTGCGATTTTTGCGCCAAGAAACTCAGTACAACTTTGGGGAATACTTGTGTCAAGGGAAGCTATCGATTGAAGGCGTATGCTCTTCAGCCTCTCTCCAAAGTACCATCGATCATGGCCTTTTCAGGCTCTTTCCCGAGCTCGGGCTGCCGAGCAAGAATCTCGAACTGGCAAAAAAGGTCTGCAGGCTTCGCTTCCAATGCTTCGCTTCACCCACGCCGGCGACGAAGGCCGACTTCCGCTTTGCCAGCTCCATTGCGCAGGGATGTTTCGGAGCGGAAGACGAATGGGCACTTCCAATGACAGCCGCATTACTCTCTCTGCGGAAGCGACCGATAAATGATGTTGTAATCATTGGCGGGTTCAAGGCCCTATTCTCGGGTATGTAGTGTTGTCGCCTTGACGTAATAAAGCCACTGACAAACCATTGGGGTAGATCAAGAGATTTGCGAACATAACCTCGATACCTTCAAGACCTTCCCCCTTGATACACACCCGGAAATCCACCAATTCTCCAACATTATCCAAGATCTTCACAGCGACTACTGCACCAGAGGTCTTGATTCTATTATCGCTACTGCCGCCAAGCTGTCGCGTGAGTACAGAGGTTTTTCATTCTAACGTGATTCATTCTGGCTAATACATCACAGTGATTTCCTTCTGATCGCAGATGTACCTTCACAGTACCAGCTCTACGTCAACCCAAACCTGAGTTGTTCTTCGTAAGAAACAAATTTGCTTGACTCTGCTATCGCATTAACCTGAATCTAAGTCTCTTCTGAACCGCTCAAACCCTCCGTCGTCGTCGTCCATGTCATCTTCTCATCAACCTTGCCCGATTTACGCTCAAGATACGCCGCCTCAATAGCCTCTAGACTCTGGCTCTTCGTCTCCGTCATCCAAACTGCGCAGACGACAACGCTTACCAGCGTACATCCGCCGTAAAAGAAGTACGGCCCCGAAGATGAGGCAGCGAGAAAGGGCGGCGCCGTCAGAGCAACAACGAAATTGGCCAACCAGTTGGCAGCCTGTCCCAGCGCCGCACCGCTAGACCTCGTCTCGCGCGGGAGACTCTCAACCAGGAAGGCCTTGATGCAAATAGCCCAAGTGCCATTGAAAACGACGGCGAAGAGGTAGATGGATACAATCACCACCCACCGTCCGGCACCCCCATCGACACGGACCTGGTTGGCGGCGTACAAGGAACCCATCAGGAACATGAGAATGGCGATGCCAGTCCCTCCTACTATGGTACAGGTCCGACGGCCCCAGCTATCTGTGAAGATGGTGGCCAGGATAGTGACTACCATGATCACCAAAGCCAGGATTCCCGAACAGAGGAATGTTGTTTCCTCTGAGAGACCTGATTGACGGAACAGTAAGGGGGCGTAATACAGAATTCCGTCGATGAAGCTGGTCTGCTGGGCAGCCATCAAGAAGCATCCAAAAGCAGTGCGAGAGCGGAAAGGCCTGGACAAAGCTTTCCGGAAATCATGGATCGTCGCTCTGACGGTGTCCGCCATGCTCATGTTGGGAGGATGTACTGCGGCTGCTGCTGCCTCCTGAACGCCCTTGGACGCCAGCATCTCCCGCTGCTCCTCCTCGCTGATGCCTAGCTGTGTAAAGACAAGCCGAGCCTTGTCGACTTGACCCTTGGCCACCAACCATCGAGGCGACTGCGGCACAAAAAGCGTCGTCGCAGCGAGTCCAAATCCCAGAATCGCCTCAACAGCCAGCGGCACCCGCCAAGACGCCGACGAATCCGCCACACGACGCGTTCCGTAGCAGATGAAATACCCCAGGGATAATCCCACCGTAAGCATGAACTGTGAGAACGCAACCCAGAAACCTCGCGTCTTGGCGGGCGTGATTTCGCAGATCTGCACGGCGACGGTGCTGACGAAGAGTCCCGTACCGAGACCCTTTACGGCGCGGCCGGCGATGAACATTGCGAGGTGGACGGCACCGCATTCGATGGCGGCCCCGAGGCCGAAGACGGCGGCGCCGGTAGATATCATGGCGACTCGGCCGAGTTGGTCTGCTAGCATGCCTGCTAGGAGGGCGCTGATCGTGCCGGTTATAAGAAGGGTTGAGACGATTGCGCCGTGGAGGATGGCGGAGAAGTGACCGAATGAGGTCTTGAAAGTCTCCATTGCTGTTATGGGGCCTATGCTGCCAGTGTCGAGCCTGAGAGGTGAAAGTTAGCTGAAAAGCCTGGTTGAAACGAAGGAGATCTGCAGACAAGACTCACCCCCACAGCATCAGACAGGCTCCCGTAGCTATAGACGCCCTGGCATAGAGCGGCGGCATTCTGAACTGTCTCATTGTGATCGAGGCTCACGATCTAGAGACGGTAATGGGCGAGATAAATGCTCTGTAGCATAGACCAGCGGGCGAACCGTAGCTTTCCTTCCTCAGACCACTCAAAAGGTTCTTATACTGGCTTGGTGGCTGCATGTTGTGCCCATCTTGATATCGTGCTATTCTCCTTTCGGGTATGAAGCCCACCGGGTTTGCCATCTTGATGAAAACTCCGATAGATAGCCTGCAGGCGGGAATGGTTACTGGGCCTTCACAGGGTCATGCTCGCCAAGAGTCTGTTGTCTCACGCGTGGGCTATGCAGTGTAGTTTTTCTGACAACGATACGGCTCGGATTAGTTGCCATAACTCAAAATCCGCCCATGGAGGGTTCTAAATTCGCAAGTTGTTAACATCGATGAGTTTAGCTGCCTCTCGTCTGAGGCCAATTGGCAAGCAAGCTCACTGAGGGTACTGTCGGCAAAGTTGCCAGTTGAGGTGGGAACAGTCGGTCCATCCTGCGCCTTCGGCAATAAGCGTCAGACCCTTCTGGCCGGTGTCTGAGTAAGGTAACTTTGCCGAACGCCTGACTCTGACCTGTAGACGGATACACTCTCCTTCCCAACGAAATTTTACTATATGGTTGAATTTTTAAGCGCTTCATCTTGTTGGTTGCGCTGACTAGGTCGACGAGCGACCTAATCAGCTCGTGATGACGCTCTGCCTGTCAACGATAGTACACCCTCGAGATCAAAAAAAAGGTATCCCCGCCTTTTCATGTTCCACCGGAACCATCCGCCGGAAAGATTTCCTCTCTTGTCACCCACCACACTGAACCTTCGGAAATGTTCCCTCGTGCCATGTTGTCTCTTTCGCCCTTGACCGTCACATTTGCTACCCACCTTACGACTTACAAGGGATAACTCCTTAAACCAACCGCGTCCAGCAGAGCCCCCCTCTCCCTCGGTCGAGGGTCGAGACCGTGGTCGAGGCCTTTTTGGCCCTCTCTAGACCATAGCGTAGGCATCATGCGCTCGCATCATGGGTGGTGGGTTGCTACCCTCAATCAGAAACGCGCATTATCTTTACAACTTCAACAAACAGCTTGACATGCCGGCAGCGAAAACTAAAATGCAACGAGGCACGACCCGCTTGCGGGCAATGTACCAAGTCTGATCGCGAATGCATCTTTTCGCAAGACACAAAATTTCGTCATTTTGATCACTCTCTTCTTTGTCGAGGACAAGACAAGGCTTCTGCAGGTCGTGTTGTTGTCGAGAATCTGTTCGAAGAAGATCAAACCTGGCTCGATATTCCGCATGAACGTGGGTCGATGTGTGTCTGGAATCTAGCGTTGATGTTGTCACTAACCAACCGCTTCAGTTGTCTTTGTGAATATTGCGAACCCATTCGAGGCAGACGACGACATCTCCGACGATGACCTTCTTCTGCAGCACGACAGTCACAATACTGAAGGAGGACCATCTGATGAATGGGGTCACACGCTGTCAACGCCCGAACCTCGGGATGCGGAGAGTGTGAAAACTCCGGCTTACACATCGCGGTCGGAAGGAGTTTCTAAGTTCGCTCAAAAATCCTCTGAGGACCTCCGAATGAATAGCGATGTTGTGCAGAGCAGACCTGTTACTGCATCTGTTGGGAACGATGATGTATTAAACCCAGTGGCCCTCCCATCACCCACAATTCAAGCAGACGACGACGAAGATTTGGACGACAACGGCGGCGACGATGATTCAGAGATGAACATAATAGCTCTAAAGCTTCTGAGACATTTCAGACAAGGACCTGGGCAGTGGTAAGCCCTGTTCTCTTCATATCCCTCTACCTTCGGGCTGTACAGCTACTAAAATGTGGGCGGTAGGATGGACCTATTTGATACATCTGCGCATTTCTCATGCAAAATACCAATAAGAGCAACGACTCGGCCGCTTCTCAAATCGGCAATCTGCGCTCTCGCAGCAAAGCACCTATCGCGCACACAGTCAAATGACAATGAGATCCGACAGACCCGCAGCGCGAGAGCTTCGGTGGCTCCCTCGGCTACGACACCCCCCGACTGGCAATACCACGCTGTCCGACACTATCATCAAGCAATCAGACATTTAAAGCACGCAATCACTCCCGCCGGAGCAAGGGACCATGCGCTACATAGCGAGACGAGCGACCAACATGCGGATACTTTTGCCGCAGTTGCCATACTCTGCATGTACGAGTTGATGAACGCCCCAGGAAATGCGTGGAAGGCGCATCTCACGGCTCTTTCACTGTACTCTGCCTCAGATAGAGCTCTGGGAGGATCTTCTCCGGTCTCGATACCGCAGTCTCCGACCAAGGGGCCAATATTCTGGAGCCTGGCAAGGCAGGACTTCCTCTGTGCTTGTAAGCTTTTCAACACATACACTGTCGTGGCCAAAAGGCTAACATCTGCGCTTCGAAAGTCATAAGCGAAACCCAGACGCGTCTCAACTTGGACCACATCCGTCTTTGGCAGAACTTTGGCCTTGCTACAGACGAACGCAACCTCTTACTCCCCTTCAGCCCCTTTTCGACGGCCGATATCCGCTCCTCGACCAACGTGGATGAAGACTCAAAAAGCAACGAGCTTTTGTGGCTCCTGGGGAAGATTGTGAATTACATCACCAACGGGGACGGTATTCGCCCGGAAGACTATTCTAAGCCCGCCGGCCAGCGCATGTCGCTCGGTCTGACGCAGGAACTCCTCCTGGGAAGATGGACGAAGCTTGAAGTCGAATTGCAGGAGTGGTATGAGAGTCTACCGCCGACCTTTGTGCCCAGCGCCCGGACAAGATTCTCTAGTCGCCACGGGGATTTGGATGATGATGAGACGGATATGGACATGGAAAGGGTCTGGTACGACATTCCGATGTGCGCGTCGACGATGCAAAGTTACCATATGGCTCAGATTCTTTTGCTGGTGAACCGGCCCCAAGAATCCACGGCCATACGGTCGACCGTGTCGGCGCGTCTGCGATCGTATCGACTCATTCAGAAAGGGGTGCTGCGTCATTGCGAGGAGATTTGTGGGATTAGCCTCGCGGATCCTACTGATGCGGTGCGTGTTCACTCTGTCCAGCCGCTTTTCGTGGCAGGGCAAGCCTTTTATACGCGACCGGAACAGGAATTGGTACTGGAGCTACTTTCTGGTATCGAGACGGAGTTGGGGTGGGCTACGAACCATCAGAGGCGGAAGTTGATTGACGAGTGGAAGGTGAATGATGGATGACAAACCACAAGTAGAATCGAGATGATGCTGTATTCTCAAAATGCTTCCGTGGCCCCAGTAGCAACATGGCCAGCTGGATAGCATGGACCTCTTGGCTTCGCAAGGTGGACAGCATATGATTGACGGCTAAGATTGCAGGAGGTGAGCATGGCTTGGCGCTGCTCTAATCAGACATGCGCTTTTTCAAGAGCGGAATAATATCGTTAGATAATCCACCAAGGAAGGGCGAGAACCACGGATAAGAGACTACATCGCTGGAGAAATGTCCACAGAGCGTGAATGCTGTGGTTTAGCCACGAATCAACTCCTGCTCCCTCGCAGCCTCATACACATGCCCGCGGGTTCCACGGAGTCCAAAATGGCAGAACTATAGATTCTATATGTTTTGCAAGAACTTGCTAGGCCTAAGTTCTTTAATTTCAACCACTTTGCTGTGGATGACTGTAGCAAGTAGACCAAACAGGGATAGACTCCACTTGAAATCTACATCTATATTCTATATTATCCAGGTGGCTCTACATGCTAGATAGGCGAGCCTTTCTTCATTGCTCGACCGGACATCCCTTCGAACTTTGATTCATTATGTTCATCTCCAAAACACTGCCAGCGGCGCTCCTTGCTGGTCTCGTTGCCTGTCAAACACTCAATATTCCCAGCCGAAGCGGTTCCATCATCTCACTACTGGCGCCGAGTGTGATATCTGGGTCTAAGGATTTTGGCAATAAGGAGTACGATCGCGGACGCTCATGCAATACCGATGTTGAGACTCCAGGCGGGCACCCCGTCTTCATACTTGAAAATGGCGCCACTATCAGCAACGTCATTATCGGTGCCGGCCAGGTTGAAGGAGTTCATTGTAAAGGTGCTTGCACGCTGAAGAATGTCTGGTTCCGACAGGTCTGTGAAGGTGAGATGTTGTCTCCGTGGACTGGACCATGGCAAAGTGAGTTTCGAGAGAACGAAGGCTGACCTCTACGCGATGATACAGATGCCATAGTGATCAATGGCAATAGCGATATCCTCGTCGAGGGAGGTGGTGTCCGCGGAGGTTACGGTAACACGATCTCGCACTTAGGCCGAGGAACAGCCACAGTCAAAGATTTTACGGTCATCGATGTGAATCGTCTTTACCGTTCATGCGCCAACTGTGTGAACAACGGCGGTCCGAGGAATTTGGTAGTAACCAACTTGAAGGCCAATAATGTCAAATTACTTGCCGGCATCAACTCAAACTTTGGAGATGTTGCAACAATATCTGGGTCCTGCGGTACCGGTGTCGCCAAGGTCTGCCAGGAGTATAAGGGTGTTGAAAAGGGCCAGGAGAGTCCCAAGGTCACCACGACTGCAAATTGTAGAGGCCAAGCGACCCTGGATATTTGCTAGGTAGCAGGGAGGATTCGAGCCACATCCGCGTGGATGGGCATAACTTCTGTTCAAGATGACCGGTGCCTTACTTGCTTTACTGCCATAATTACTCATCGTCTTTCATCAGTTCGAAACCCCCACCCCCTCATATTATACAAAGGCTCAATATGAGCAATGTGTTGATACGCAAGTGAACCAGTATGGTAGGGTAATTGTATGTGGGGCTCCGCTGCGTACCTCAAGCTCTCAACTTGCCTTAGGGGTGGTAAGCTAAGAGTCTCCTCCTCATTTCTTTCAATACAGGAGTGGCACCACAGCACGACTGCGGCCTGTATGTTGTTGAAGCCGGCAAGATGTTATATAATTCTACCACTGGTGTTGAGTTCGCAGGTTCTAGAGTGATCTGAAAGCTGGAGTATGTTGAGTTGCCTGGATCAGTACATGTGCAGAAGGGTTGCTGCGGTATGATGGGGGCTGTTGTTGTTCGCGGGGAAATGCGGAGAAGCCGACGCAGATTCGAGGATCTCAATTCTTCCGCCGGTCTTCTAGATGGAGACCTGCGCAATTCGGATAGATCTACGACGAGCCGAGATTTCATCCCGTCGATCTTAGAAATTTGCTAAGCGGCTGCAGTTAGATATGTCACGCATACAAGAGGGACTTGTCTTGCACTTTTCCCAGCGTCGATTTCGTGTAAAACAAAAAATAGCTGTGAACCAACAAAGAGGCCAAAATTACTGAAGTATGAGAGCTTTCTTGAGCCTTGTTGTGTTTGGCTATTTGTCCAGCCTCTTGGCTGGGGTTATTGGATGTCGAACGGATGACGACTGCAGTCTCAACGGCCTTTGCGATCAAAACTCCTCCTGTGTCTGTGACAAAGGATGGCGTTCTTCCGACTGTAGCGAACTGGATTTGCAGCCAGTCGAGCCTTGGACCGGGTACAATCACACGAACGCGACAGGATCAGACTTCTACAAGGAGGGCGCCGGAAACTCTTCTTGGGGAGGTCACATCATCCAAGATCGCGAAGACAAGGGCCTCTTCCATCTCATTACGTCGCAAATGTCACACGGCTGTGGTCTCTCTGGTTGGCGGCCTTTCAGCACCATCATTAGAGCCGAGTCTCGCACAGGGCCGAGAGGCCCGTATAACTACGCCCAAACATTATTCAGCACTTTTCACCACAATCCCACAACTATTTGGAGCCCAGCGGATGAAAAGTTCTTGATCTATTTTATCGGCAAAGACGTCGAGGTTGGTGACGTTTGTAAATCCCAGAAGTGGAACAATACGATCTCGGTTTCCTCGTCGCCGAATCTTAGAGAATGGACGACACCAATCCCGCAGGTTATCAACGTCACGAACCCTGCACCGTGGCCGCTGTGGACAGATGAGGACCCCACGCACGAGATCCTACTCGCTGTGGAGAAGAACAATATTTACCACGCAGACAACTTCTCTGCACCCCACGAGCTTGTTGTTGAACCGCGAAACACGGAGCGCAGTGAAGATCCATTCCTTTGGAGAGATAAACGAGGACACTGGCACATTCTGGTCCACCACATGGTCGATATCGCGGAAGGCAGAAAAGGGCCGCGAGTCGGAGCACATGCTTATGCTCGCAATTGGGAGGGCCCTTGGACTTACAACAATAATACCTTGACGTACAACACAACCGTTGAGTTCACCGATGGTGTCAAGTTAGACTACTATCGCCGGGAGAGACCAAAGTTGTATTTCAGCGATGACGGGCAGATGACTCCGCTTTACCTACTCAACGGGGTGCAAGAGTTCAATAAGTCCGGGAGCTATACCTTGATCCAACCGATTGGCAAGGAAGCAAAGAATTTTGAAAGAAGTTTTGGATCGAATTAGAATCGCGTGGGAGAATGGACTCCTTCTCAATACGTATTTTTTGCTAGTTGCAGTTTGTTATAGGAGATCAACCCAAACTTTTTGAGTGACTTGTCAAAGCCCCGAGGAATTGCATGCTGAAAGTCGCCATCCCATCCCGAGCAGTCAGGCGAAGAAGTGGTCCCATGGCTTTGCGGATCGGAAAACAAGGCGGTGCGTCAATGCTTTGATACCATGACTAGCGACAAAGATAGACGCCTTTAACCTTCTGGAGAACCACGCGAGGACCACGATGGTCAGGCGGATGGAGCCTTCTTGGCACGGACAACTCGGATCTCCTTGTGCTCCCCAATCAAGCAGGCCACGGGATACTTGGCAGTCGTCCAGTAACAGGTTGAAAGTTGTGGACCAAATTGGACCAAAATGGTGGTGAAGGCTGGGTTATCAATCATGGACACGGGGAAGAGTGTAACCTTGGACTGACTCGGTCGACACCAACGGGCCCACACAGAAAGCCGCAGCTAAATGAAGGTTCTCAGCCCGTCAGCCTAAGCGTCGCTAATTCTGGACATTGGACAGCTTCAAGAACCACATCAAGGTTTAGCTATAGGGCTTGTTGTGGCAAGCAATATGCCCTGCGGAAGACGCAGGTAATCAGCCTCGGTTCCGGTTTGGCGGCTTCCGAGGCCAGATCACCCCAACCTCATTTGACTGATGTCAAATGGTAGCATTTACTGATCTTTTGATAGCACCAGTGGTTCGTCTCATTTGTCATGACCCCTGTGTGTTGTAGACTTCGGACCCGATCAGGTTTCCGAACGCCGCGCGCGTGCTACGGACCTACAGTCAGGATTAACTCATGCGATTCATCAATCCACTGGAAATTGGATCTGGCCTAGCCCGAGTTTGACACTTTCTAGGATCGAGTCGGTTTCAAAAGCCGCCCTTTTCCCTGTCCTTGTTGCTGTTTGTGCCAACTTACTTCCATCAACTTCATTTCACCATAGATCATAGACGGCAACCAGGGAAGCAGGTCTTCATTGCCAGCATTCACTTCAGCTAGTTCATTCGTTACTGGTATGATGACCGTTTATTGAGGGCCGAGAAGATTTCAACTAACAACAAGCCGTAGTCATTCGTTGCAACATGCGTTCTACCGCCTTCCTTCCTTTTCTCAGCCTCCTGAGCAGTGCCTTTGCCGCTCCCGTTGCCACTGTTTTAGACTCTCGCGGAGAGGTTGGCCACGACGCTCTTAGTCCTCTCGCCCAGAAAGTTCAGGATAACACTGTCGGCAAAGCCATCGCACGATTCAACCCGCTCCTCCACATCGCTCATGGGTGCCAGCCATACACTGCTGTTGATGATGCCGGAGACACAAGCTACGTGTCCAAGGAGTTTTTCACAATGATAAAAGGTTGACGATTGAATCAGCGGTGGCCTGAAACCCAGCGGCAGCTCTACTGGAGGCTGCAGAGACACCAGCAAGGGCCAGACCTACGCCAGAGGCACCTGGCACAACGACAAGTACGCCATCATGTATGCTTGGTACTTCCCCAAAGACATGCCAAACGATGGCGTCTCCACCGGCTCACACAGACACGACTGGGAGAGCGTGGTGGTTTGGCTCAACGACCCCTCTGTTGCGGACCCGACGATCCTGGGTGGAGCTGCTTCCGGTCACGGCGACTACAAGAAGTCGACTAATCCGCAACGGGAGGGTGATGGTGTGAAGGTGGAATACTTCACACAGCTGTTACTGAACCATGAGCTTCAGTTCACTGATACCACCGGCAAGACATACCCTGTCCTTGACTGGGACGCTATGTCGACGAACATGCAGACAGCTCTCAACAACACCGACTTTGGCAGTGCCAATGTGCCTTTCAAGGACGAGAACTTCACCGAGAATCTTGACAAGGCTTCTATCTAAGTACGATGTCGAGCTCAGACGAGTTTGAGGGCTGCATGGGAGCCAAAAATCTGACATGCACACTTCCATCAATTCTTATGTCCATATTCAGTCTCACGATGTAAATAGTTCGATCAGCAAGAACAAGTAACGAGGCAAGGATCGCAAGCATCATGTACAACAGCACATAGTCATAAACATTAAAGACGGTCTCACTCAATTCTCATTGCCTATTGTCTGGCATGGCTGAACTATCTACTTCAAGCAACTAGTCGGCTGTGCCTGATGCTAAAAGTCATGAACATATGCCATCGTAGTATCTTAAACATTCCGAGGACCATCGACAGCGGCCGCTGTCGTAGTCACATCCACCGGGGTCGCGACTACTTTGTTGTCTTCGACAGCAGAGTCTTCCGCCTCTAGTTTCGTGTTGTCGACAGGTCGCTCTGGCACCAGCAGAACGGCCCACGATGTCGCAGGGACGCAAACCACAAACATGACAAAGGCAACGATGAGATTTACCATTGGCGAAACCTTGACGGCACCAATACCGAAGGCTAAGCAGGAGCCAATGGACTCGAACGATCGGACAAGACCAACGCCGAGCGTCAGAGTCTCGATATCGTCAAAGAAGGTACCCATGATCCAGTACACAAACATGTAGTGCGACTCGTTCATGAAGCTGTGAGTCGTTAGTACTGACTTGAAAAGATCAATAAGGTACGTAACATCAGTGCACCTACCGGAAGAGTACATTGACTGCAAATCCACGTCCGAATCCAGGGGTGCTCCAATCGAGGGTAACTTTGGGAACAGTGTCCTCATAGAGCTTCTCGTTGGCCACTTGCCATGCGAACAAGCCCAGCATGATTACTGAGAAGCAGGACCAGGTAATCTTGGCGAGCTGGGGTCGACTAAAGCACTTCAGGTCGTAGAACCAGCCCCAGAAAATGTTAGCAGCAGATGCAGCAATACCAGATGTCAAGGCGCCAAGGGTTCTCGCTCTGACCGAGAAGTACTTGGTCAAGTAGATGCCCTGGTACGTGCTGTTCCAGTTGAAACCGACGAGGATGGGAATCAAAAGGTAGAACTGCTTCTTCTTGAGCAGCTTCAGCCACTTGCGGAACTCTCCCAGGACAGCCTTGTTCTTGGTAGGGTCGGCAACCTTCCTGCCATCGCTGTGAATGACTTTCTGAGGGGGAGACACGAGCAACGCCAAGGGAAGACCGAGGCATTGAAGGGCGATCAAGACCAGGTAGGTCGAGTAGCCGACCTTCCCGCGCTGATTCTCCTTGACGTTCAGCGAGAGCTGGATGGCAGCGCCGAGAAGCTGTCCGAGCTCACGCAGGCCAAGCCAGATACCAGTGAACTTGCCTCTATCTTTGATGTCGGCGTATCCCAAGGCAATGGCACCTTCAGCTGCCCATAACGCAGATGCTGCGATGCCACAGGTAGCGCCACCAAACAGCACGAACCACTCTACACCGTAACGGTTGTTGACGTACATGGATGCCGAGTAGGGTGCGTATCCAAGGGTACCGATGATCAGAACCGTCTTCAAACCGATTTTATTCGCCATGATGGCGAAGAAACTGCAGCCGAAGACCATGATGCCAAAGGTGAGTGAGTTGGAGCCATTGACGAGATAAGGCTCTTGCTGGCCACCAGCGCCGGTACCTTGAGGTATTGATTAGTCTGTGACTTCTCTCAGGCCTAGGGATATCGCATACTGTTGAGGGCATTCCAAATACCAGGTTGAGTGAAGGAGATCAAGCCTACAATGATGACGTTGAACAAAGGCGAGCGGTACCAGCGAGTAAATCGTGACACGGGCTTCGTAGGTTGAACATCCTGGACCTCCTCATCGACCTCATGTGGTTGCTTTGCTTGATCGATTGACGACATTGCAGCTGATGTTGCTTTCCAATCCCGACGCAATGGATAAAGGTCATGCAAGTGCGGGAGGAAATGGGGTCCGTTCGATGTCGAGCTTTTAAGAAATTGCCGATTTCTTCGGCCTCTGCATCGCTCTACCCTTGTTGTCCTGCGGGATATTCATTCCTCCCTCTACATAGAGAACTCCCCAAGCGGGCAACCTCCGTGATGTAGCACCAGTCTGATTTTTTTTCTTTGAGTCTGCTCCTTGGAACCCCCCACCCAGGTTTCTGGGCTCTGCAGCTCGTCAGATACCGAGTCCAATCCAGATTGGTTGGGGCCGGCTGCCAATGGGCTGGAATAAGCTTGGTTCGCGTGGCGTTATTGTAAATCGTAATGAGGCAATCCTGGGCAGCGCTCATCGTCGGACGACCTATCCCTGATGCAGGCCGCCGGCGCGGGCGCGGTTCGTCGGCGCACATGCGAAGAAAAAACGTGCCTTTGACCATGGATGGGGTCGGTATTGTGTCCGACATCGCGTCGTGCTTACATGGGTGCGATGGCGACATCTCAAGCGGGTTCCGGAACCCCACAGCTCGCCATCCGCCGGGATAAGGGCGGACGACGACTCAGCAGCGATGAACTAGACGTTGAGATTGAGAAACAAAGAAACCCTTTCAGATCGGCATTATATGAGAAAACAGTCTATTCCAACGTCCAGCTTTGGGTTGCATCTCTTCGGCGAGTAGTAAATTGACCAGAATGGGATTAAACACCGGGACGTCCGACTATAACTGCCCGGCCCCGCTCTGGATCTTCCGGCTCCGTGTCCGAGTATCACCGAGTCTCCCTCTAGATCGGCGCCTCGCTCATTTGGGCCAAACATCTCGTGGTCAGGAGTGAAGAGCAACCCAGTAACTACAGGTCCCATTTCTGATCATTAGTCGAGCTAGCATGAGGCGGTGAGCCTCCAGGAACTTTCAACCCAGCCCGAGCATTCTAGATGAATTATGTGTACCTCTGAGAATTTGGCTGTAACCTGCTCTCGTCTCGGCAAAGATGATGTTACATTTGCAATCGAAAAAAAAAAACTAAAAAACTGTACTGAACAAGCACCGATAGAAACCAGTACACGGTGACTTCTATTCGCCAACCAAAGGTCCATATATGTACTAACTGGTCATGGTCCACCCATAGAATGATACTGGAAAGTATGTACACTGGAGACACTTCTGGATACGGTATCTCCAGCGTCACAGAGCCCCGAATTCCAATGCAAACCAATATTCAAGGACTTAATTAGGACTGGATCTCTTAACATCGCAGACAGCCAATAATTGTGAAGCATCATGATACCACATATGATGTTGCGTGCATGGGATACGATGCAACAAGGCTCGGAAACCCTGAATGGAAATGACAAGTATTAATTATTAAAGATTCTAAGTAATAATGGAATCATTTGTCGGAGCACAATGTTCTCGGAAATGTCAAAGACGTGGCAAGATATTCAGAGAGCTTCTTAAGTGCCAGGCGCCTTGCAGAGGAGTGCCAAACCGGCCTAGTGTTTGGAGGTTAGCCACAGCACAGAGTCAGGGCCACTATTAGGACACTTACAACGCTGAGAGAGCAGCATCGGGCAATGCGATTCCCATCGAGCAGGCAGGCAGCTTGAAATCCGAGTGTGGTGATTGGAGGCGTGACAGCTGTGCTCATTGGTCAGCTTGAAAAGACTCACGCTGGGCTCCTGTAAACCAAGGATCGATTTGGATATCTTACGAGCTACGCATTTTGAAGACACCACGCCGCTGATGACATCAGCCGAGCAGCATACTGGAGTTCCTTGACAGACCGGGGCAAGAATGGAGAGTCTTTCAACAAGATTGGAGCCCGCGGATGTAGTTGGAGCGGCAATGACGAGGGAGGAGAAGAACCCGAGGATAACATTTGATGCCTTCATATTGGGGGAAAAGGATGTTTTTTCCTGTCGAAGGATTAAAGGCGCTGAGGAATGGAAATGGAACTGCTTAGTCGGCTGAGCGTACTGTGATGATGTTGGGGGTTGTTCTGTCAACTTAGGACAAGAGAAAAGGGTTCTTATAGATTTACAAGATGCCAAGTATCTTCCCAATGACAGTCACGGAGTATTCTGAAGTGTTGGGTGCAGAAGCAGGAGGTCCAGATTCTCGTCACCTCGGACAATGGAGAGGTACGCTTTCGTCTCCGCCAAGGGGTCTTCAGTATTCGGAGAGCCAAATACACGGGCGCCTCATACCGCATATTGTGGTAGTGGACCAGCTGATCACTGCGGGGACTCGCCGGTTGGGGAATCTTTTGCCTTTGAATCCCGTTGACGGGCCGCATCCGGGAGGCTGAACGATGTTTTGGCTCCACCACCGTCATCCCAACGGCTCTGGACCCGCAGCCAGCTCCCTGGACGTGGGCCTGGATCTTATGTGACCCCATTGAGGTTTTATCCGAGGATTAAAGTTGTCAAGTTCTGTTCTCAAAAGAATAAATTGGTATTCAATGAACTATCATACAAAATGTATTGGATGCATAAGAAGAGTGGGACTTCATGGAGGACCAGACGTTGGTAACAGAACGAGCGCGAACCATTCTCGTAATTTGAAGGAGGCACAAATCAGCGCAAAGCATCATGCGGGAATTGCGGACGGTCCCGGTCTCTTTGAAGGGCCATCCGATTGTCCTAGTGCCTTCCTCCCCGTCTTCTCATCGGGAGTTCGACTATTCGGGAGGTGGCTTCTAGCTAACATCGGATACCCCACTCACTTGTCTCGGCGTTGTGACCGAGAGCAGTAATTCAGTATCCAGCCAAAGTAACGGCCGCAATTGCCCGTTTATTTGTCGTTCACCATGGCGGAACATTTTGTAAATAGCGGAATGACAATGAACTTACCGTTGTTCGTGTCAATACTGGGAGAAATTTATGCTGTTGCGGAAGTGAACCTTGAGAAGACAGGTCGCCGAACTGTTGAGGTAATTGGACTATGTCCTGGAAACGAAAAGTCTTCTCCGTATCTTGTGTGCACTGTATCACTCTTCTGAGTCTCATTTCCATCGGCATTCCACTTCTGCTGATAACAAGGGAGAGAGTATAGCGCAGTATTTGTTGAACCTTTGAATATCGACGCTTGCAGCTTGACAGGCCAAGTATTGAAAAACTACTCAGATCAGCCGTTCGGCATCTGTTCGACAGTCACGTGCTTTAAGTGTATGTCAGTTGACCAAGGTGAATCAAAAACGACCTCGTCTGAATGGTTGTTTTCTTCAGCCGCTTTCACGTCCCAATCCGTTCAGGCTCAATAATTGCGATGTTCAATTCTGTCTGTATGGATTTGTGTTCAGAGTGCAATACACACGCATCTACAAGGCTCAATAGGAGTTTGTGCCTTGAGATCTGGGAACCATGAGTTTGACTTCTACGGTTATCGTCTAGTACCCCGACATCGCAATCAACTCTTGCTTTGCTTACCTGTGCTTCCCTTCCATGAGACATGAATTAGCCAAACACGTTGAGGGCACAGTTAGACCCGGCAATATCCAGCCCAAGAGAAGAAATCCAGGAGGCCCTGAGAGAACATCTAAGGGGGGTGTCATACAGTGCGAATGTTGTTACGAGATATGGATGTGGTTAATGCTGCCCATATAGAGTGGGCCCGCTTTTTGTGACAAATGTCAATAGTAATGAGGAATGGAAGACGGGGAGGAGGTAAGATTTGCTGTTTTCTCTTTCTTCTCTAAGGTATATATTGGTGCTCTATGCTTGAGTGCAAAATGCGGGCCAAGGTCCTTTCAGCGAGCCCTGAGAAATACCCGCAGTTTTCTACCATGGACAGGTAGGCGTAAGACAACTGGGTACGGTAGATCGTTTCCACAGATGCTTTCGCGCAGACCTCATAATAACCATACGCAGCCTCCGCATGGTCTAGTACCAGCCTTGCAACCCAATCGTAAACCGACTCTGATCCTTCTCAAGACTTTCCTTCAGCGCCACCAGCTCCTCGACATCCCAGTTCGCGTGAACAAACCGCCCATTCAAGAACTTGGCTTCCTCGCTGAGAGCCCACACGACAAAATCCCCGGGCAGGGCAATATCGTCGTACGTGAGCCCAAACTCCTCCACGGTCGGCGCAAACTTCTCCGACATGGCCGTGCCGCCAATGAGACCTGGGTGCACCTGAAGCACGAAGAAACCCGGGTTTTCATCGCGGAAGTACTCAAACAATTTCGTCGCACCGCTCTTGGAGGCGCGGTAGGAGGAGAAGCCAAACATGTAGGGGAGATGGATGGCGGCCGTGGAGATGTGGATCACCGCAGCATTGGTCTTCGCGACGGGCTGAAATGCGCGGAGGAGGTTGAAGTTGCCGCGGACAGAGATTTCGAAAGCACGCCACCAGTCATCGGGTTCGGAGTCGGCGATGGTCTTGAGGTCGGACATGTAAGCTGCGTTGGCAACGAGGATGTCGATCTTGCCTCCATTGACAGAGCTGGCAAAGGAGGCGACTGCGTTGGTGGTTGCCTTGGCGTCTGTGACGTCGACAGTGTAGAGAAACACCTTTGCCTCCGAGTTCAGGGTTTCGACGGCCGTCTTTGTCTCCTCGAGGGACTTGACTGTGCGTCCTAGTAGGCCGAGGCTTGCGATGCCCGACTTTGCGAGAGACTTGGCGATGGAGGCGCCGATACCTGCGCCACCACCCGAGATAAAGGCGCTTTTCCCTTTGGTTGAGAGTTCTGGGCGAGACGGGGAAATTGCGGCATATGGCTGCGTACGGTAAATTTTGGTGGGAGCAGGGAAAGACATTGTGGTGACTTTTTCGGGTCTTGAAATGGTCTCTTGAGTTTCTGATTCCTAAAGTCGTGAAATGAGAGTGTAGCCTAGAGGTGGGGGAGAAAAACCAATATCTAGCCGGTCCTTCGGCTCCTTCATTTATGTATTCAGATATCAAAGAGCGGTGATGTTGATGTCAATATTCAACACATCATGTCTCCTGCTTGGGAGTAAGCATATTGCTTGGCTAAGCTCTTCTTAGCGCCGCCTAGATTGGCTGATACTACGGGCAGCGAGGCTAAGGCATCATCGCCTTGCCATGTCAGCCAGTATTTGAAATCTCTGCTATTGAGCTCAGGAAAGAAGGATTGTTACTTCTAGACGACACTTGGAACCGTCAACGTTGGAGGTTCGGACTCGGACCAAAGTTGCCAGGATTCACATCATTGGCGCTGGGCCGGGCGCTGGGCCGAGTCGGATAGATAACGTTATGGACCGGCAGCCGGAGTGGGCCCCGCGCCATATGCTGACACGATGCGCCCTGTCCCAGTTCTCGCTGATTAATCCTTTCTCGACGCCAACAAAGACAAAACAACCCATGACATTTCTCATCCGAGATAACGTTGACTCGGCCCATGGTTGAGCCCGGTCACTTGCTTTAACGACTGGCACCCATAACGAGACCGTACCGAAAAAAAAAAGGAATGAGTCCAGCCGACGCCGAGGTAATGTAACCCATGAACTATCCGCCCAGGCTATGGACATGATTCGCTAACTCGACCCAGGTCCGGCGTCGTGAGCGCGGTGTCATTGCTCAGCGCGAGTACCGCAAGCGACATGCTTCCAAGGTTCAGAAGCTCGAAGAGGAGAATAGAAATCTCAAGAATGTCATAGCCGAGATCAACAGTGCTCTCAAGGGACAGCCCACATCAAATCATCTGAGAGCCGCACTCTGTCGCGCACGAGAACTCGCCAATATCACTGAAGATGATGCCATGAATGACGTCGACGATCACGATGTTGAAGAATTAGGATCATCACAATCACCACCCGATAATCTATCCCGGACACCACCACCGCCGCCACCAGCAACAACCCAGTCCTCAATAGTGCCAAGAGACCCATCATCGACATCAGAACGGCGCCTCCGTGCCGGCGGCAGATCAAGCCCCCGTCTAGACTACGGCCTCTGGGTAGACACAGACCGCCTCATCCGCATCCTCGAACCACCGCTCGACATCGTCCCCTACCTCGGCCCGGGCATGCACACCCTCGCCGGCTGCATCTTCTGGTCCACCATGAACTACACCGTCGACCTCTGGGACGCCCGCCCCTCGCCTCCCGCAATCAAAGCCCTGGACCGCGTGTTCAGCCACTCCGAGCATCTCACCGACCGCAAATATCTCCTATCGCTCGCCCAGGCGAGGATGGACTACAAGAACAAGGGGTACATGTTCCGCAAGCTCTCGGACCAGTTCGCCGAGCGTACCTGCACGCAGGTCTACCAGCTCGCCGGCGATGAGTGCGAGAAGAAGGGGAGGCCGAGCAGGTACTGGAAGACGCCGCAGGAGGTTGCGGGGAATATTCTCAGCCAGATTACGACTGATCAGGCTGTGAGGATGCAGGATGTTGCGGAGGGAAAGGGGACGTCCTTTGATGGGGAGATGATGCAGGGGCTTGTGGGCTGGCTGTCTCAGAACTTTGTGTGCTTCGGTGACGGGCCTAGATGGAGTACCGTCTGCGTCTCCGTTGGCATTGGGAGTTGGGTCAGAGAGCTCATGGACAGGGATGCTCGCGCGGAGGGAGAGGCAACATCTGGATCACACGAAACACCATCTTGATTATTCCGCTTTATCTTCAAGAGTCCTCCACTTCAAAGCTCCATCCGCATGGCTCGCCGAGCCAAATCGCTTTGCCAACCCGGAGCATCCCACCGGTCTTCATCATACCCAGAGGAACTACGCCTCGTAGGAACATCCGCTATCAGCCCCACACACCCTCCATTATATCTTTTCGGCGGGTTGTCCGAAGCCTCACACCAGAAGAACGATCTCCTACCCTCGAGCCATTCGTTCTCAGCCATCGGCCCATCCCACGGCCTCTCCCAGTCACCCGCATAGAAAACGACCTTCTTCAGCAAATCCCCAACCTTCTTCTCCCGCAAGTGTCCCCACAGCTTCTTGGCCTGTTCAATCTCCAGCGGCGGCTGGGCCATGGACTCTATCCCGCTACCGCAATCCGACGCCTCACCCATCTTCCATTGCTCGTAGCCATAGATCCCCTCCGTGGAGGCACCCAGCTGTCGCCGGCACTCGCTCGCAAACTCCAAGAAGATTGTAATGTTGGTCAGTTTTGGGAAGTTGGTCACTAGCGCGTCAAAGTGCTCCATCGGCCATGTCCCATTGCGGTTGATGTCGAGGGTAATGCTCTCCAAGTTCGGCGCCATGCGGCCGAGTTCTGCGATTTCTTCCGCCGTCATCACTCGCCGCTGCCGAGTCCCGCTTTCCGCCTCGCGCCATTCGAGGCTTTTTAGAGACTGCGCATGGTGTCGTATGATGGGCAACACGGAAGCGCCGGTCTCGTGGCTGAATATCCACGACAGATGTGTCAACGAGTTCTCAGGTACCCCCAGGATGAGGTCTTTTGCCCAGGCGCCATAAACCTTCAACGACTGAAGTGATTTCAAGTGTGGGACCAGCTTCGCAACGTCAGGATACTCGTCGATCCTGGGCCTCAGTGTAAGATTCTGGATGCTCCCGAAATCCATGGCATCCAGCCACAAGTCCAGATTCGTCTTGATCTTTTGCTCCGCGGATAACGGGAGATACCTCAACCACTTCCAGGCTCTACCGGAGCCAATCCACTCCATCCTATCCCAAAACTTGGAACCTGTTCGAAACGGCGGCTCCTGGATCTCGTCCCATATCCGATCGCCAAAATGATAGCCCTCCAGGTCTAGTGACTCCAGCTCTGAGGGGTATGTGGACCCAGACGCTAGGTCGAGTGGGAAGTTCCAGCGGTCAGGATGTTCAGAGCACCCTAGGCTGGTGACGCGGAGTTTGAGGCTTTTAATGGATTCGCAGTTTGAGAGGGTTTTGTGGACGTCGTGCATGGTTGCCAGGATGGGGTCGCCGGGCTCGCGATTGCCATAGCGACGGGTTTGCCCTGACGGAACTACGGTGTCGATGTATGTTGGGCATTTGGCAGCAGCGAGTACGACAAGGGAGAAGAAGAGTAAACCGCGGGAAAATGGTTGCATTATTTCGATCGCTGGCTGATAAAGTTGATTAATCATTGGCTTTGCATCCAGTCTGCAAACATGGTTCGGACGAGATTCGAGAATTGCGAGATTATGGCACGAGGAAGTGCCGCGTTATATGCCGTTCCAGTTCACGAAAGGCCACGACTCTGTAGTGCTCGGACTGGCGATGTTTTCGATAGATAGTAAGATCTGTCCTGAAATGTCGAATCCTTCCCAGTTTCTGTGACCACGTCAATCTAGGCAGCTAACGCCGATCGGTCATAGCGGACTCTTTGCCTTGTCAGCAGCTAACTGCACGATTCTACAAGAATAATTCGATTTGGGGGAAACAGAAGGTACATTTGATAATGACCATGGTGCCTAGGAACCGGGGCACGGCTTTTTGGCAAGAACGCATATGCCAGCGGTTGAGTTACGCTTGGAGAAGATGCAGAACCATTTTGGTATGAGGACTGGTGACATTCTCGATCTACGCAATTGGTTGAAATTGGAGTGGGTCCATATTCTGCAGTGATCATGACGGCTGTACGGATATGTTTCTGAGTTCCTTTGACATGAACTGTATAGCGCAAAGTTTTTGTTGAATACCTAGGGCGGTAACATCATTTACGACGTGGAACATGGCCGCCGATCGTCCTTCGTGCCCCCGGACTTGAGAGCAATGAGAAGGCTTGTATAGCCTTTGGAGAAAATTTGGAACAGAGGTACAGCTGCTGATGAAGCCTATTGGCAGATCAGGACTCTGCAAATGTTGAACTTATCACTTTCTCCCAGCCTCGAACATTCGATGCCTTACTGGCTTTGACAGGATATTCAAGCAGCGGGAGTCAACACGGTGTTTCTTCACATCAAGATCCGCGGTAAGTCTCGCCCAAAGCCCCGCATAACTTCGGTCGGAGCAGTGAACTTTGGTCACTTCGGTGACAGAGTCATGGATATCAGGATTTTTCGAACTTCCAAGACTACGAGACTCAGCCACAGTTAGACAGATATGTTATCTCAATTAAACTCTTTTGGAGAAGATGTTTCGTTTGAATCGCTATACTGAGAGGGTAAGAGACGTCTATCACAACGTCTCATTTAACCTTAATTGACATGCGATCCTACACTAACCGACCGGGGCATCCGCGCCCGGGTGAGATTACATAGTGCGGCAAGGGAGGGGCATCACTCTCACATCATCGCATCTCACCTCAGAGCACGTAGTGGATAGTGATACAAGATATGCTAATCAGTTACAGAATCATCACTCTTTCCATCTAGGACGCCTTCAACCAACGATTGTCCCCGCACCGAGCACAAACTCTCTCCGAATGACCTCCGGCAACTCAAACTAAGATGAAGGTCCTCATCGCAACGATGCCCTTCGCAGGCCACATCCACCCAATGCAACCCATCGCCCTCGCCCTCGCCCGCAGAGGCCACACCGTAGCCTGGCTCACATCCGCCTCCCACGCCCACATGATCCCACAAACCGGCGCACTCTTCGTCCCCTCCCCGCCCCCGCTCGCCGCGCACGACGAGACCGCCCTCGCACCCGACCCGGAGACCTCTGGCCTTGCCGCCGTAGCCTCCACCCTCCGGAAGCTGTTTCTCGACAGGGTACCAGACCAAGTCGCAGCCTACCGCGCCGTCCTCGACGGCTCCGACGGAACGTCGGCGTTCAAGGCGGATATCCTACTTGTAGACCTCTGCGCCTACGGCGCACACTGCCTCCGTGACCTCACGGGCTTACCGTACGCGACGCTGGGTATCAACCCGCTTGTCACTC